TGCTGCTGCTGCTGCTGTTTGTGTCTGTTACAGTCTGCATGTTTGAGGTTTACGGTGACAGCCTTATTCACTCCTTTCTGCTCCCCATGCTGCAGTTGCTGCTTGTTTCTGCTTCGGAGCACTTATTTGCTGCTGTTGCTGCTGCTGCTGCTGCTGCTGCTGCTGCTTGTGTCCTGTAGGTGATAGCGCGTGCGTGTCTCCCCCGCCTCGCTGCCTGGCCCGTCTCTTTGAAGCAGCGGGGCTGCCTGTTCCCCCTTTTGCTGTTGCTTCAGGGGCAGCAGCAGCAGCAGCAGGATCAGCAGCAACAGCAGCAGCAGCAGCAGCAGCAGGAGATAGACAGGTTAAAGAGACAGCTGCAAGGAAGCGGCAGAAAACTGCTGCAGCAGAATCACGACGAGAGCTGCTGCTGCGTGCCTGTCCCTACGACTGTCTCTTTTCTTTCAAGAGACCTGCAGCAGCAGCAGCAGCAGCAGCAGCAGCAGCAGGAGCAGCAGCAAGAACAACAGCAGCAGCAGCAACAGCACCCACACTTGTCACAGCTACAGGCCGCATGCGCGTTCTCCCCACCAGGTTGCTGCCTCACAGGCGGCAGGTGGAGGGATCAGCAGCAGCAGCAGCAGCAGGAGCAGCAGCAGCAGCAGGAGCAGCAGCAGCAGCAGGAGGATGCCAGGGTCTGCTGCCCCCTCTAACACGACAGGAGCAGCTGCAGCTGCTGCAGCTGCAGCAGCCGCTGCTGATGTGGGCGGAGTTCTTCTCCCCTGACGAGCAGCGCTGGGTCTCCTGTATATTTAGGGGGCCGCAGCACTCTATATATGATGCAGCAGATGTATTAGCAGGACGGAGACACCCCATGCCTGCTGCTGCTGCTGCTGCTGCTGCAGTTGGCGGTGGGGGAGGAACAGCAGCAGCAGCACGGGGAGATAGCAGCAACGTGCATGCAGCAGAAGCAGCAGCACAAGAGGCGCTGCAGCAGCTTTTCCTGCGGCGCTGCTGCGCGTTGCAGCAGCAGCAAATAGACAAACTAAAGAAGCAGGAAGAAGACAAGAAGCAGCAGCTGCTGCTGCTGCTGCAGCAGCAGAAGATAGCTGCTGCAGCACAACAAAGTGCTCGCTCCCTCACCAGCGGGCTCCTGCTTACTGCGAGGCCCCATCGCCGTGCTGCTTCAGCACGCAGCAGCAGCAGCAGCAGCAGCAGCAGCAGCAGTGAATCTGACAGCGACACAGGTGCTACACCAGGCAGCTCCCAGGCCTCTAGCAGCGCAGACACAACACGTGGAGACGTTCCCCACAGCACAGCGTCTGCAGCAAACCCAGCAGCAGCAGCAGCAGCAGCAGGAGCAGCAGCAGCAACAGCAGCAGCAAGGCGTCCTGCTGCTGTCTTGGGTTTAAGATGGCCCCTGTACTGGGAGGCCGGCAGGTGGGGCATTCTCTTCTTGCGGCCCGACCACCTCACCCTCATTGTCTCTCCACAGCAGCAGCAGCAGCAAGAGCTGCAGCAGCAGCAGCAGCAGCTGCTGCTGCTGCGATCACCTCTGCTGCGGACGCTGCTGTGGCGCCTACAAGCCAAAATATCGCAGCCCCCGCTGCAGTTGCAGCAGCTGCTGCTGGAAGTAACAGAGGCTGAGGAGGCTGCGCATGATGCAGACAGCAGCAGCAGCAGCAGCATCAGAAGCAGCAGCAGCAGCTGCAGCAGCAACAGCAGCAGAAGCGGCAGCAGCAGTAGCATCAGGCGGGACATCACCGCAGCGCCGCACGAAATGGCGGAGGAGGCAGCGCTTATAGCCGACGAGTTTGCTGCTGCTTGGAAGCAAAGCAGCAGCAGCAGCAGCAGCAGCAGCAGGAAGCGTGGCCTAACCCAGTCTGTAGGGCGTCCTGGCAGTGCAGCTCCGACCAGCAGCAGCAGCAGCAGCAGCAGCAGCAGCAGCAGCAAGCGGAGGGTTGCAGGGCCGACTGGCGGTGGTGAGTTGCTGGGCTTGGACTTCCTTCGAGCCCGCAGACAGGGGAGGGGAGGCCTGCAGCAGCGGCAACGGCCTCTGGTGAAGCAGCAGCAGCAGCAGCAGCAGCAGCAGCAGCAACCCCTGCAGCAGCAGCAGCAACAACCCCTGCAGCAGCAGCAAGAGCAGCAGCAACAGAAAGACGAAGAGACAGTTGTAGCCTCATCTATGGTGTGTAAGCAGGACCCTCTGGCGGGGTCTGCGTCTGGCTTTTCGGTTCTCTTACAGCCTCAGCAGCAGCAGCAGCAGCAGCAGCAGCAGCAGCAGCAGCAGCTTGTGTGTGCGTTGGAGCAGCAAGGGCGCGGAGCAGTTCGTTTTATATTGGCTGTTGACGGGTCGGGGGAGCTGCGGGATGTCACCCACAGATATGTAAAGAGGTGCGTTGCCAGCTAGCTACGCACAGCTAGCTACAACTAGCTAGCTAGCTACTCGCTAGCTAGCTACTAGCTAGCTAGCTAAACCTGGCCATCGCTTGCTAGCTAAAGTAGGGGGTGTGGTTCGGCGGCTGCGCTCAGCTAGCTGTATTTATATAGCTAGTTAAAGCAGGATGTTGCCAGCTAGCTACTCCCAGCTAGCTACAACTAGCTAGCTAGCTAAGCAGGATGCAGCTAGCTAGCCACGCGCAGCTAGTTACAACTAGCTAGCTAGCTAGCTAAACGGGGCCTTGGCTACCTAGCTGGAGCTCCCGGTGCCTGGGTTCTTAGGATGCTGAAGCACGTCGCTTGCTGTTTCTGCTGTTGCTGCTGCTGCTGTTGCTGCTGCTGCTGTTGCTGCTGCTGTTGCTGCAGCTGGCAGCAGGTGCTGCAGCAGCGAGGCGCCCGCCTGCACCAGTGGTGGGAGAGCGAAGGAGTGCGGAAGGCGCTGCGGCGTGGGGGCCCTGCAGCAGCAGCAGCAGCAGCAGGTGCAGCAGGAGCTGCTGCAGCAGCAAGTGGAGATGCAGCAGCTGGAGAGTCTCCTTGCGGCGAGGGCTTAAAGGAGAAAGAGGAGACAGAAGAAAGGAGACAGAAGGAGCAGCAGAGACAGCAGCAGATAGAAGCAGCAGAAGAGATAGAGAGACAGCGCCTCATCGCTAGCGAGCCCCTACCCACGTCCCGCCGTGGTTTTATTGACAGCCCCAAATTCGTCCTCAGGAGTCTGGTCAGATGCATGCATGCATGCAACCCTTCTGCATGCATGCAGCTGCCTCTGCATGCATGCATGCAACTGTTTCTGCGTGCATGCATGCATGCATGCATGCAACTGTTTCTGCGTGCATGCATGCATCAGCTGTCTTTGCATGCATGCATCCATACATGCATCAGCTGTATGTGTGTGCATGCATCTGTCTCTGCATGCATGCATGCAGCTGTATCTCAGTGCATGCATGCAACTGTCTCTGCATGCATGCAACTGTCTCTGCATGCATGCATGCAACTGTCTCTCCACCCGTGCAGTTGCCTCTACGTGCACACAGCGTGCAATAAATACAATAAGTACAGGAATATATACACATATATATATATATATATATATATATATATATATATATATATATATATATATATATATAT